CCATTTAAGTTGTCTTCTTTTGTCTTTATGAAGTTAATTGGTACATGTTAGGTGAACAATACAGTTACCTTCATCACTGGGATCTTGTACCTTTAAATGATAGATCTTGGTTCTTATTTTTCCCCATTCCCCAGCCCTCCTTTTACCCACTTCACCCTTCCCTGTTTACAAAAGACTGGTTTCCATGTTTTTCCTTTTCATATATTTTTTCTTTTCCTTTTTTTACCTTCCCTTTACCCCTCCCACTTCCTCTACTCTTTTAGACACTTTCTTCCTATTACACAGCATCAATTATGCATTTTTATCCTTATTTACACTTTTAGTTTTTCACATCAGAGAAAGAATTTGGTATTTACACATGTGTGACTTATTAATTTCACCTAAGAGTATCGCCTCAGTGTGCATCCACTTAACTATAAATATCTCCAGTTTCTCATTCTTTATGGCTGAGTAGTACTCCATTCTATTAAAAAAAAAAAAGAAAAGAAAGAAAAGTCTCTTTATCCAGTCTCCAGCTTATGGGCAATTGAGTTGTTTCCTAATTTTATTTTGTTTTTTATTTTGTTTTTTGTTTGTTTCCTAATTTCAGCTATTGCAAACTCTGCCACTATAAACTTGGGTGAGCATATATTGCTGTGATGTGCTTCTTTTAATTCTTTTGAAAAGATACCCAGCAGAAGAATAGCTGGGTCAAATGGGACTTATAATCCTAGTTCTTTTTGGTATCTCCATATTGATTTTCACAGTGGTTGCACCAGTCTGCACTCCCACACAATGAAGAAGGGTTCTTATCTCCCCACAGCCCCGCCAGCATTTGTTACTCAATAGCAGCCATTCTTTGTGGGGTGAGATGGAATCTCAGTGTTGTTTTCATCTACATTTCTTGAACGACCAGTGATGTTGAACATTTTTTCATGTTTATTTGCTGCTTTTACTTCCTTGTCTGAGACATGTCTGTTCGTGTCAGATGCCCATTTTTGAATTGGGCTCTTATATATGGGGGGTCTGATTTTTTTGAATTCTGTATGTATTCTAGATATTAGACCTTTGTCTGAGGAATAGCTGGTAAAAATTTTTTCCCACATTCTGGGTTGTCTCTTAGACCTGCTTTTGATGTCTCTGGCAGTGCAGAAGCTTTATGAAAAGATGCGATGTCAGTTCTTGATTCTTTGTGCTAGTTCCCGTGCTACTGAGGATTTGCTCATAAAGTCTTTTCCTATGCCAATGTCTTTTTTACTTCATTACTTCATTTTATCTGTTCTATTGATCTACTATCAAAAGTTCATTTTACCTGTGAAAATTACAATATCTATCTCTCAATTATCATAGTCTACCCACAAATATTCTAAATATAAACCCTCAGATGAGAACTTCACAAATTATATGAGGACCTTACAAACACAATTATAACTTCATTTATACCATTCATGCCCTTTGTATTCTTATCAGTCTATATGGATTTGACACCTCAAACTAGTAACATAAATCAGAAATAAACTTCTACTTTCTTTGAGACTATCAAATATTTTAATTCTATTTTTTATTGCAGCTCACTTACAGACTGGTTATCAAATATAACCATCAAAATATACACTGACTGGCTGGGGATTTATCTCAGTGGTTCTGGCACCTTCCTCACAAGTTCAAGGGCCCGAGTTAGATTCCCCAGTAACAACAACAAAAAAAAATATATATATATATTTATATATATATATATAAATATATATATATATGCACACACATATACATATATATATATATATATATATCCTGACTGTGACACAACTTAACTTTCTTCATCTTTGTGTCCCTTGCCTAATCTGTTCCCTTCCCTTATTTTCCTTCATAGCTTTTATCAATTCCTAATATTGCATAATTATCTTATTTCATTTTACTGTAATGTCCACTAAAATGTAAAGGTAGGGATGTGACATGTAATGTTTGCCAGGATTCACTAGCACTTAGAATATTTCTGATGCATGCACTTGAGTCCTTTTGATGGAAACACAAGGTAGATCTGATATAAACACTAGAAATACTTCAAGAATAATCACTAGGAAAAGTTTTATTCAAGGCATACTGAAAAATTTCCAAGCCATGAAAAATAGTTATAAGATCAGTAGCCAAGATCTAAAGCCAAGGTAGTTATGATGAAGCTGGCTATACACACATATTAACCTTCTCAAAAATTCAAAGTAAAATACTTGCAAATTTCCTGTACACTCTTCTGAAGTAGACCTTAAATACTTGTTAATGATGAGAGTATAACCATTATTTATAATCAAAGGAGAACATGTAAGTTGCAAAACTATAGACACAGGACAAAATTTCTTAGCATATGTCCCACAGAGACATTTTTGGATGTGCTTTCTTAGAGTTTCTTACCTGGTATTAATTTTAGAAAAGAGTAAAATTGGGACTCAATGCACAATGCAGAAAACCTTTAAACACAATATGGAGTGACCTTATAAATTTGCTAAACAATTCTCCCAGCCTGATGATAACATACCCCAATTTCCTCACAAAGGCCTACAAGAGTTTTAAAAAGCAATGATGCCTTTATAACTCATCTACAATGAACTAGTCATGAAAATTAATCAATGTGTTCCCAATTTACATATACCTTATAGGTTGTATGCAGTATCAATTATCATTAAATTTTTCAGATTTTCAGAGGTCTTAGCTATCATATAGCTTTATGCTTGAATCCAACTAGTTTAACAGACAACTAGTTCAGATTAGCAATAAAGTTGATTCACTTAAAATTATTCTTTTTATTCCATCACTACTAAATTTATGATCAAGTTTTCTGAAGGTGTATACAAATTTTAAAAACTAATTAAATTATTAAACAGATTATTTTCCTACCATAGCTTCAAAAATAATATAAAATGCTATACTTTTAGTAAACCTTACTTGAGAAATTGTGATAGCAAGAAATATGATGCACATAGAGAAGTGATTCCATTTATGGGAATAATTTGACTCCAATCTAGTATGATGGGGACCTTGAATTCAATCTTAAGTAAAATATGGAGTGGAAATCCTTTGAAAGGACTAGATGACTTGTCTAAAGAATATCATTGGATCGCCAACTCTAATAAGAGAAGTAATCACCAGATATTCTGAAAATTTATTTCTCAGGAAAAAAAGAGGACAAGCCTACCACCAGATATCTCACTGTTTTGACACATAAAAATTTGTGGTAAAACAGAATATATTCACCAAAATTATTAAGAGACTGCTTCTGGGCCAGAGATTTAACTCAGTGGTTCTGATGCCTGCCTCACAAGCACAAGGGCCTTAGTTCAATCCCCGGTACAAAAAAAAAAAAAAGAAAGAGAGACTGTTTCTGGTCTAAGTGTATGTGTGTGTGTCTGTGTGTGTTTGTAACTGATGTTTTCCAGATTTTTTATATTCAAATGACATTATTTTAAACAAATATAGCTGAAAATACATAAAACTAGGGCAACCTAATGCTTTTGAAACAAAGCACTGAAACAAATGCCTCACCCCAGCTATTTTATTTTTGGAAATTTAGAAAAATTCTTTCTATTATTTTAAGTAAACTTTTCAAATTTAAATCTATCTTCTCCAAGAAACTCCCTTTACTTCTACTCTCTAGTTTTCTTTAAATCTTTTGAATCATATTGTTTTAGTTAGTGCTATATATTATGCACATGCCTGGAAATGGCTCATGTATTTGTCTCATAAAACAGTGTTTTCCTTCAGGCAGGTGGCAGTGTGGTTGTGCCAGATGTCCCTGGGTGGCCATCTTGCCTGTTAAAATGTAAATTATGTATGTATAAAAATAGAACTGCAGGCACCTTTAAAAGTCCTCATGTTAAATAATGTCCTGATGTCTAGAAGCCAAGCCCAAGCACAGGAATTTTTCATTGCTTACGGATTATAGTGAACATTAGAGTGGGCAGAATGTCACTATGGGTGCCATGAACTGGCCATGGAAATAGGCAAAACATAACAGATTGTGTACAGATTTAGGAAGTCAGGATAAGTTTACAGCTAAAACTTCGAACCTTAGGTAGAGAATTTCATAGATCCAGAGTGTTACGGTCGTCTTTTGTGCCCTCCCTCCTCCAGTTTACACTCTACATTGTGAGTGTGCAGTGGCAGCACACCCCTATGAATCCATCCCTGATGAAGGTTGAGCCCAGAGGATCATCTGTCTGTGTGTTCAAGTCTATCTGGGAAATTTAGCAAGAGTGTGTGTGTGTGTGTGTGTGTGT